GAAGGGAGGACCACTAATCGAAGGTCTACAAAGGATACGATCTCTGATGCCCTGTCGGCGATAACTATAATATCTATTTGCCACTGCGTCCGTCTTCGACAATATTATTTAGAAAATATGGTTCAATGGCATTAGAGGCATAATAGTCGATTGCGATTTTTTCAGTATGTTAAAAAAGTTTTTATACATTCTGAGTCGTTTTATGTATATTGCATCGCTGATGACCAATGCAAGTATAGCTGCATTATCACGTTTTCATTGCGATGTAGTGCAAATTTGTCTAAATATCGCCAATCTTAGGTTGTAGGATATAACCTAATTGGCTATTCCATTCTGTTAGGTCCGCATCTAATCTCCGACGTAAGCGATGCGTTTTCATCTTGCCACTGTTTCTACTTATAGTGGATTCGATCGATCTTGGAACCCCAGGCAAGATGTGGGCTCTTATAGAGGCTTCCTTATTCCGTCGCGCCAATCGAGCGGACTGGACGACTATTACTGCCTTTCATAATAAGGTCTTTCGAAAGGACACAGGACTCATCGATATTGATCAGCACAAAAAACATCTGTTGATACGTTACAACCGGTGAAAAAGTGGTCATCAATGCCAAGTTTCATCGTTTCATTCGAAAGTTTATTTGGGCTAAACGACGCTATAGGAGATGTATTTGTCAGACACACTTGTAGCCTGATCGATAAAGCTCTGCTAATGTTCACGTTGAACGAATCATAGCAAACGTCACGGATGTTTGATGGGTCAACTTGAAAGACGGGATGAGCGCGGACTCGAAGAGAGGGCGTCGTCATATTGTAGATCAGTGTTAGCCCCCGCGTCCCCACCGACTTTGACGCTGAGTGACGTTATATAGTTGACATGTGGGGATCATATTTATACGATATATATTGAACAACAGGTCCGAAATAGTGGCGCCTTGAAAACCGACAGGGAATAACGCAGCCACAAGCCTGAATAGAATAACTGCAGAGATGGAGGCCGTGGCGCTCTGAAACAACAACTACCGTATTACGTATTTAGAAATATATTCCGATTACTGCTCATTGTTTATATATAGCTATCTAGCTGATTCTCTCAAAGCGAAATCGTATGTGCATAATTATTTATATGAGATCCTCCTTCCTTCGAGAACCTTCCGATTCATAAGTGCGACAGCAAGCTGCGATGTGTTATCACACTAAGCCATTTTAGGAAACTAGAAAATTGAAGTGTATATACCAAGAGTTTTCTTTCGAGATCGAAGTGCGACACCTCATTAGGGGTGTTCCAGGCACCACTCGTGATGTTTGGCCAGCGTAGTAATGTTACGCTAATGGATTTCAATCACAATTTGTTAATATATAGATGAATTCGCGGTTCTGAAAATCTGGTACGAGTAAGATGATTTAGTTCTCGGCATGGATAAGTTAGATAGGCCTTGTCCACGGTCAGTTAAATATTATTTTTGAAAAGGTTATATATACATACTTCCATTGCCAAGTGTCGCCAGTCTATGACAGATTTGCTGGTGAGTTGCGGCATTTTCCTTCCTAGGAATAGATCATAGAACCACCCAATAATATATGCAAGGTGTTTCAACAATAGGTCCCAGACGAATATGCTTAAAACTAGATAACAGCATTACGATGTTAAGTATTATGTAATCCTCTTGTATGTATCTCTCGTAGACAAGATTTTTGATACTTTTCTGCGTGTAAGCTCAACTTGAGAACAGAATATAATCGTAAAAATAAGGCAGCTAGCAACAATCTTCTTCATGCTAAAAGTTATCAAGGCCTTCTCCGTACTATGAGCAGCTATCTTAACAACGATGAAAAATCTGCAAAATATTCAAAAACCTAGGTTGTTCAAGTGCCTAGGCTATTCATAATAGGTATATAACTATATTTTCAAGTGAAAAGCAATTTTTCTCGCATCTGTTGTGCAGTTGAGCATTGTGTGGTTGGCCTTAGAAAACGTTTAGGGTATTCCCTATGGAAAATAACATTGTAACACAGATAACATAGCTAGTTTCTGAATAGTTCGGAATTCATATGAAGTTTAGTTTCATCTTGGAACAGCAGGATAACCGATTGAGTAACACGTCAACGATCGCACATTGATAGCTTTATTGGCACGGAATAATTGACGTGGGGGGTATGAAACATCTGCTTCAGAGTCACAATACACCAGAACATCTGGATAAGAGTAATTAAATCATCGAAGCTATGTCTGGAAACTACTAGAACGAAAATGACGGAATAATGCAGCAAAGTAACGCAATAACTTGAACAGTATAATGAGCTAATTGAAGAAGGCTGAGGCGAGCTTAATGACAACAAATGGAATAGTAAAGAACCATCACAAAGCATGAAATTACTGCAACTAATTCTGATTCAGAGCTTGGGCTCAGGCTCAAGTCTGAACACTCTTGGGAAAGCAACCGAGTAATTAGTTGGGGAAAGTATGGTATGTATGCGTGGCATGCAATCGTAGGAAAGATTCTAGGACTAGACGAACCCATGAGCTTCAGAGGCCATAAATACGTGTAAGTGGTTTTTGTGTAAAGGTTATGCTTGTGTAGATGGTTACAACAGAACTCGAATGGCGGCCACCGTTCGGTACCGATATTTTCCTTATAAAATCAAAAACCCGTCCCTACCCACTAGCAACAACATCACAATAATATTTATATACCGTCTAATATTACAGAGCATTAAGACAGTACACAACAGTGGACAACCATATTGGGATAACCTTTAACGCGAGCGCAACTCATTTGACTGGATGTCATTTTGGCTTTTTGACCCGCTATTGCCGGCGTGAATTGTTTATTGACCGCGTGCCAGATCAGCTCAGTTTGTGTCTGGCTACTGGGCGGTAGTGCTCAGCGTTCAGTCAACCTTGTCATTGATGTTCCCCCGTCGGCCCGACCCAGAGCAGGCAGCCGGCGTCAATCTGTTATCTCTTCCAGTGGAAAGGCTTCTTTCGCGAGAGAGCCGCTACCCTTCTGCTTTTAACGGCAGGACTTTGGCATTTGGGACGAGACAACAAAAGTCCGGCTATCTCGCTCGTGTTTCGCTAGTCTCAGTCACTTTAAGGTGATGCTGTGGCTGCAGCACATCCAGCTCAACCCATAGTAGCATCTCGTGAAGGTTGCCCCTTTCTATTTATTATTACTATAAGTATTGTTCTAATTACTATTCGATCCCACTATCGTAAGAAAACACGGCAATGGTCGCCGCTCAGAGACAGCCTGTCGTGATTCCACGACGAGGATGAAGATGTTGATGGCAACGCCAAGGACGCTTATAAAGGCCGAGGTTAGGGCAGCTTTGAGCTATGGAGATTTATGGGCAGGACGGAATTTGCACCTATATAACTGGTGAAGCTGTGTGGATTGGCTGTGGTAATGATGTTTTACGATGTACGCCCTTAGCAAACATTAACAAACGAGCGAACTGTGTCGTTCACAGAATTTAAGCTCGGACTATAAAACACTAAACATAACTCTGTCAAGATAGACGAAGGCGGCGTCCTCAATTAATAAAAATAACGATAATCTATAATGAACATATTTGTAGTGCGGAGTTGACAAGCAAATGTGCATAACATATACACTTTTTTTTTGTAATAGAATTTAATGGTATTCGACCTTCTAAATTAAATTTTTGAGCTTAGTAATGCCCTAGCGCAAACCCCGCCTCGACGCTGCTTGAACAGCGCATATCTTTACGTTTACATAAAGGGTCTCGTCTCTTTATTTTTCGAGTGTGACGTCAGATCTCGCCGTTGGGCATTCTGTCAGAAGGTTGGCCTCCAACACGAAACGAAGTTCGCGTATGACTGGGTTTGAACTTAGACCACAACGCGGCCTTAAGATTAGCAGGCAAATATGTTACCCAGTAAACTGTCACGGGAGCTAAAAATTCTAGCCCTTAGATTTTTTCCAACCTATATGGCCTTTCAGAAAGGGACTGTGGCCGGTATGTGTGTAAATCCACCACGTATTTTCAAACAGGGCTTATGGATTAAGCATGACGTAATCAATAAATCATAATTATGAAGGTAATATTATAATAAAAATGAAAAACACTGTTTTCATTGACGAGTATGCATTTCTCAGTTCGAATGAATATACTATTGTCATGCGCGCAGACCCTCATGAACGAACCTTTGAGTTAGTATATACTGGTTCTTAGCAAATTACGATCTCGGTAGGCCTGATTAATATTTCTCTGTAACTTCATTTGTAGTTTTGAAGAACACGAACTACGCCTTAGGCTCGACCGACCTATGAATAAAACTGAAACTGAGACTATCTACTAAAAAAAAAAAGCAGTAAGAGGTAACTATAGCTTCTACTCAGTTTCAGTACTAAAACGGAGTATTTTGCGACAAAACGCATAGAAATAGATGTTGATGTAGGATTTTAAATGTCATGTAAATGATTCACTCGTATATATATATATATATCCATATCGCTTCTAAAAGCTAGAATGATGCGAAAAGTTGCCAAATAATTTCATATAAATAAAATACAATTATTGTATGATAATGTTATTAATGACTGATGAAACCCATTAATGGTTTCTACATCGTTGACGCTCACGTTGCTGCGTGCCAATTTTCGCCATCTTTGCCAACAGCAAATTGTTCCGTTTGCATACTTTTTCTACATTCTTCTAGAATCCAGATCTATCTTTTTTTCACAAATGTTGTGATTAAAGTTCATTGTTTTTTTTTTTTTTTTTTGCCTCCCATTTCTGGATGGGCATCGTTCGGTACGGTTTCAGTTTAGGCCTTTCTTATGTGCGTATGTAAAAACACGTGACACATATACTGACAACAACTCGTGCACAACCGATTTCCATCGTGCAAAAATAAGCCCTTTCGAAAAATATGCATCTCTGCCATCATATACACGTGTACAGAAATTTGCATTCTGGTGCCTGAAGAATGAGAGTATGGCATTTTGAACAGGATCTTTTCTGCTGAACAGTACCTTTAAAGGGCAGAGTCAAGAACAGATGACAGCCGTAGGGTGAATATGGTGATTACATTGCAGATTCCCATCGCCGTGTCCAAATGTCAACTGAACAAGTGTAACTTCGAAAATGTTTCTGCCCGGTGCATTTGTCCGTATCGGTTGCCGAGTGCCAGATGCGTTGTACAATCTGTTGAGCGTCGTAGGCACGCACTCTCTTTCCTTGTCATGTCGTGCATTCAACGATTCTCAACATGTGCACGTTATGCAGACCAGCATTCGTACACGTACGTCCATTCGGAAACCGGGTTCACCTGGCGGCGGGGACGTTTGCGAAACTGTTAGGTTAGTAACGCCGTTACACGCTCCATGTTTCGAGCTCTATGTCCGCTGCTGCCATTAGACATTCAATCAAACAGCATGTAGACGTCCTGTAAAACACCGTTACCATAGGCTTATATGGCACACATCGAAGATAGCCTTATATAACATAGCTCTCCCTATATGGGTTATCTTATTCCGTTGTATCCAGCCAAAGATCGTTATGAATATTCACGATATCCAGTTTATGTTCGCCGTCGGCCCGATATGGCACACACGAAAAGCAACGTCAATTTGGTTGCCCATCAATCATACGGCGTTTTCTGAAACGGTGGGGTATTAGATAAGCAGATGTTACAGGTTTAGTTAATAAAAATTCTAAGCTTGTAAGATATGCCCCCAATCTGCTTTTTTTAAATATGGAATATTCTAACGACATTTTCGTCGCAACAATTTTTATGGGTTTTCCGCTAAAATCAGATATATATAGGCTATATGTATTGAAATGTCCACATACTCTGTACATATTATAGTATGTGAAATAAAGCCATATTCGCATCCTTAAGGCGTTCGACTTGAAGGCAAAATTTGGATCTTCGTGATTCGTAGTTTTCTTACTATGTTGCTATTTTCAGATAGTTAGCCTGTAACAGCCTAGCTTTTCATCAGAGATATCCGAAAATATGACAAAAAAAACATTTTCTTAGACTAGTTAGATGACTTTATTATTTTTATTAGATAGAATTAGTTTTTTTCCTTTTGATTTGGACATAGTCTTTCACTAAAGACAGGAAACATGCGATATAGAGATTGTAAGACGTTATATATCTCACCTTGTAGAGAAGCAGCCACTTATTAACTTGCTTCCAGGATTCACATATGGTCCAAAGCATGTTTATGTATTTTGTATATTTAGTCTTTTTTATTAGTACCACATCACGATTCCATTCGATGATCCTAGTTTTCAAAAGGATTTCGACTACTCCAATTAAATAGGTTAGAATCAAAGTGATCTAACGATCTTCAACCGTTCGTTTCGAACTTGATCATATATGTTTATATACAGATGCATACATGTAGATATTCCTTCGTCAAAATGCCCTATAATGGCTGGGCATAGTGTTAATCACTTGCCTAGAAGGCATCGTATCCATCCCCTAGGGCACTAAACAAATAGGGGGACAACGCAAACCCTTTAGGAAGCTGCAGCGGCTCGATCTGTGATGTTGCTGCTGCTGCTGCCTCCGCGATGTTGGAGTGGTATACCAACTCGAGATGGGAGTGAGAAGGAAAAACGAACGCAAGAAGGCCGGAGCCTGCAGGCAGTGCAATCAGCCAACCATTGGCTAAGTTTGTTATGTTATCCAAACTCGTTTATGGCCACTGCCGCTGCTACTGGTAGTGCTGCTTCCGCTATTGCTGCTAACGTAGCAGGCGGCCTCTTATTGCCATTGGCGGGCACTACCCTCATTTCGTCCTCTCTCCCTTTACTTTTCTTTCGACTGACGATATTGCTGGAAGGTCCTGTAGAGGCTACGCAGGCCTTAGCCCCAGCACAGGCTCAAGTTCCAGCTCAGGCTCCTCTCACTGTGTTTCTACTGGTGGATTCTGCTGCTGCCGAGTGCCTGTTAGACATTAGTGCATCTACTACCGACTAAATTAGGTTAGACGGCCTGCAGCGAAACCACAGAAGCGTGGGGGGAGCCTAGGCCACAGAGGCCACATTTGGCTGGCATTTACAGAAGACGAAGTCTTACTCACTGCTTGGAGGTCTATATTCAGATACGTACGGAAGGTTTATCATACTGATTAATGCGTCAAGAAGATGCGTAAAACGGGTGCATTTCGCTAAATAGACAAAGAATATATGAGTGTGATATAAAGGTTCTGAGATGTTTGCTTCTTACGTTTGGGTGATTCTACAGTAATCATTATTATTATATATTATTATTATATTAATTACGAAATTTGTAATCACTAAAATTGTATCGCTTATGGCTGGAGATCAGACAAGTGATAGCACTGTATTAACGAGCTTTCCAATGAAAAATCGTATTGCTGTCATTCACTATGAGTTTTTATTTAGGAAAGTTCGTTGTATGCTCATTAAGCGAAAGTAAATACAAATCTGGAGCCGTATTCTCCGCGATAGCCCATCTCCCATAGCCTGACAAACGTCGACCGGCGCGCTCTTCTAATGAAAGTAACTAATTATTATTTATAAATATTCTAACTGCAAATGGCGATCTCTATTCAGTTATAGCGACTTTATCTGATAACACTACTTGCTTCATGCAGAACCGTGAGTTCGATCTGGTTTTTGGAACCCGAACTACTACTGATCGTCGTTAGCCTGCGATGAGACTTTTGACATTTGAATAGCTAGGTACAAAACTCCAACGACACTATACAGGTTATTGAAATCACGGATGTTTGACATAATGCCAAGTGGCGGATCGACAACTTGGCAAACTAAATTTGGGGACGAGCTCGGAACTGGTTACTACTTCACTTCGATGCGAAAGTGTGCATCATGGCGTCACATGATTATATAGGGCCTCAAGCTAAGTGTGTCAGCACTTCGTACATCGAGTCAAGTTCCCATCGGTAACTATTGTTGTTGTATAAAAGGCGCTAAAATAAAAAATGCAACATCGTACTAGTCTATTTTAGAATAAAAACACGGTACAATAGTAACTGCGACTCCAGCAAAAAAAAAAACTTGAATAGTCTGAACGGTGACGTGGTCGCTAGCAAACACCAATATGATATTACCAGCCATAACTAGAAGGCCCGGGTATACTCTGATCGTTGCTAGATTATGTGATCTGATAGAAGGGAACATTTTAGCAGTAACTTAAAGTACTATGCGTAAATATTATTGGCTTTTTCTCGCCTTATCACAAAAGGAACGCAAGAGAATTCTAATAGCAAATTAACTTCTTGTACTCACTCGGCTCGGTTTCGCAACCAATTCGTTTTGTTCTAAAAGGCGTGATCCAGCCACGTTTTGAGACTCTCCTCATTGTTAAATACACTGATTCAGACTTCATTTGTCAATGGCTGGAAACAGTGAGAATTCGTCGCAGAATCGGGAACAGAATTTTACCGTCAGGCTATTTTAGGGTGGTTTTTCATGCGTGATTTTAGCGAACGATAGCTTTACTTTGTTTATCAAATCCTTCTTATTGGATAATTTCGTTCACGCGATGTTATTTGCAATATGAAGGTCCTTATTGACAATTTTGTTTTCCTCAAATGTCCTCTTGAATGCATACGACCTTCCTTCTAATAAAACCAAAATCAAATTCTTATGTTTTTTCGCTTAATAGACACATTATTTTTCGTCAAATTTCTGAGTAAAGGGTTATTCTTGCGGTCATGTACTACAAGTCGGCGCCGAGCGGGAAACAACGAAAAGCTGTAACTCCGTATGCCCTATTCATCGAGTTCATAAGACACTTAAAATTTAGTTTTTTAGACAAATTCCACAGATCAAAGACGTCTGACGACACTCACGTGTCTGTAGTTCACCTTCTCGACGATTCAAAAGTTGTTTGCCGGCCCTCTTCCTTCAAAGGTGCTTTTTAGTGGCCTTCGTCAACTTCGTCAGTGGTCTAACGGTGCGAGTTCTAAGGTAGGTACAATTATTGAACTTTGCAAGCCGCCGTAAAACAGTCGTATCGGCTGTATCGAACACAACACAAATGCTCTATAGCATAGCTCTAAATAATAGTATAAATACAGTTACATATAGTCATATATATGATACTAGTTAATACCATGTACAAGTGGTCCATAACTATAGTTTAATTTGCTTCTGCTAATAACATCTGTTTATTTGTATAAAACCCACATGGACCATTATACAGCTTCAGTACATTTATAACGCTTTTTAAGTTTCTGCAGCAGAAAACTTTCGTTTTCCATATCGAGTATGTAACAGTTGTAAATTCGTATCAACATGTTTTCACTTGGAAAATTCCGTTAATACTCAATACCGTATTTATATTCAAAATACGCCGTTGGCCGAATTCGATTTCAGTGTTTGAAAATTATTAGAATCCTATCTATCTTAAGTATTTTATTTCGTAGATTTACACAGACCATGGCTTTCATTTGTCCAAGTGATTTGTCGCAACATTGTCCAAATATAAGTATAATTATTATTCACTAGGACGTCTTGGTGACAGTCAGGAACAAAGTGAATTTACCGAAGGACAGACAACGGAATCATGTAGCACTTTTATCTAAAACCGACAAAGTGCTTATTCTGATCTTCGATATGTAAAAACAAACTTCTCATACCGTTTCATGGATAACGAGCTTGTTTTTGTCACAGGTTAAAACACACACATCTATTAAATTCAATTTCAGTAAATAAAAAGTAAGTCTGTAGACGCGATTGCATGATATACCGGACGTTCCTTACCCAAATATGCGTACCTGTAAAAAGAAACAATCGTTTCTTTAGTGGAAAGCTGAACAGGAAGTCAACTTCACGATAACCAACTATTACTGAGTTATGTATATCAGCGGCAAGACTTTGCTTATCTTATTTCACAAAATATTTGTTTTCCCGTCATATAAGATTGCGGTCAGATGGTCGTGCTGAAACGCACGTGCCCTGCGGCTCCTTTAGTTCGAAGACTTTTCCTTTTTTTTTATTGCTTTTATTAACACCTTATAGATTTCAACCCGCTGTTGTGATTGGGTCCGCAGTCACGAAAACGCACTTTTTCTTACAGCACTTACGAAACACTGTGTGCGTTT